TTAAAATATTTTTAAATATCATAATTAATAATTATTAAAATAATTAATAATTAATAAAGTAATTAACATTATTTATTATTTAAAATATTTTTAAATATCATAATTAATAATTAAAAAAATTATAAATTAATAAAATTACTATTAAATTGATAGCTTAAAAAATTTAACAGGGACAATAATATCATGTACGTAATTTGGTTTGGCCTCCAAAATGCTTTGTTTTTCTTTTTCTTTTTCTTTTGTTTTTTTTTTTTAATTTCTATCCAAACCAATGTTTATTTGTGGAGTTTATTAGTTCTGTTTTTTACTGAACTGCAGAAGCAAGAAAGATGGCCAAAAATGAAGAAAAAGAAATCAGGAGGAACAGTTCTAAATTTTTCTCACCAATCATGGAAATTTCAAGAGAAGAGAAGGACTTGAAGTTAACATTTTCTGATAGGCAAAACCCCATGTTAAGCTCCCACATTTACCTTAGATTCTCAATTAAGCCTTTAAATTTTTATTAAATTAAAGAAGTCTCTAAATTCAATAATTTAGGCAATTTAACCCTCTTAAATTATGGCAACCTTACTATCCATTTGTGTTTCACTTGCGTGAACAAGATGTTGACATATTATTACTAACATGACAAGTATTGACCTTATTTATGTAAGTAAGGTATAAATAAGAGTTAAATCTGTCATAAATAAAATAGTTAAATTGGTCAAATTACTAAGTTCAAGGACTTATTTGCTTTAATAAAAGTCTAGGGTCTTAATCAAGAATTTAGGTTAACTTTGGGGACTTAATGGAGAGTTTTACATAATTACAATATCATATAATATTATAAACTTATAATTACAATATATCATTATATAATCGAATTATTTAAGGATCTATTCGTAATATAATATATATATATATATACTCATTTAATAACACATCACAATTATAAATTTACAATTTTACATAATATTGTAAACTTATTATTAATTTATACTTTACTTTAAATATATTCATACATATTGATAGCTGCTCTCTTGTTTGGATTTGAGTTCAACAGTATGATTTCAGCTACTCAGCCTAAACATCACATAACATTCCAAATGAAATGTCAGTTTCAGGTAAGTTAGTGGCATTGATCAATTTTTTCAATGCCATTTCTTTCAATTAATTGCCGTGACAACCGGCAGTTTGAGAAAAACCCCACTTTTCTGTATCTAGAGGGCCTGGGATATTTCATGTCTTTATCATGATCTTCTCTCTGGAATTGTGATGACTACTTTGTTGGTTCACACAGCTTCCTTAGGCCGTGTTTGGTATTCCTTCCCTAGAAAAATGAATCTAGGAAGTTTACCATAGTAAGGTGTGAGCACGTGTCCATAATTTTAACTTTTGTGGACCAAGGGTGCATAGGCGGTTATATACCGTTGAGTGTTCATATGGCAGAGATTACTAAAAAGATCAAAAAAAAAAAAAAAACCTGAGAAAGTTTGGATCTCGGGATACATAACCAATTATCTCTAGTTATAATTGGCTATACCCCCTATAATTGCTTATAATGTGTCAAGTGTAGCCACTTAAAAACTTGCATTGATAATTGTGTCAGGATTTCCAAAATCCTGAGGAAGCCATTTTTTTTTTTGGGGCTAACGGCTTCCCCAAAAATGCCTTTCAGTCTAGCCTTAACCAAACATTGCCTTAGTGTCTCTTCTTTTTCTTTGGGAGAAGTAGGTGGCAGGACTCGACTGCAACCTAACACAGATCAGACTAAGCCAGCACAGTCAAGCAGTGGCATCAACAGCCATAATGGCTGCATTTTATGTTTCAGTGAATACAATAATATTGTTTCAGTAATCTTTGCCCTACCAAACATTTGTATGCTACAATCATTACACTATCAATTGAGTTTCAGATTTCTTGGTGCTGAAAAAGATAATCTAATTTATTACACATTGGAACGGAAAAAATAATAATAACACATTTGTGAATCCTTCTTTTTTTTTTTTTTTTGGGTATAACATTGGGTATAAAAATACTAAAAGAATGCTCCATTACGCACCCAAAATATCATCACTAAAAATTATTCCCTGGCTGGAAAACCTTTGGGGTGATAAGAAATTAGAATAGTCTTCTGACCTCTGAATTTTGGCCATTAGTCGACCATCAGTTGACCATCTCCAGACTCCTGAAGCTGTACTTTGAAAACGTTATAACCTTCAGATCAAAATCTGAAAGGTTAGAGGCTTTAGCACTATGAGCTGACTAGCTGAGGTTTGAGTTATATTTCACATAGTTTCAGTGTCAGCTAACCTCTGGCCGTAACATTGGGAAAAAGGTCCAGTTGTTGCCAGGCTGAGTTTCCTTCCCGGTAACTTTTTCATTGGCCCACCATTCAGACCTGATGGTGATTTTATCAGAAGCTTCTCTTTTTGTACTGTCAAAGTTGAATTCTTTTATTGATCCCAGACTAACAGAACGGTGCTTCTGATAGCAATGAGCCTCTTCTGCTTCTCCTGAAGCTTTATTGAATGATTCTTCAGAAGTTTCCTTCATACAGACTTCACAACTACTTTCTTGATCAGTTGACAGTCCATCTGTTTCCGACCTGCCATCTATCACCATGTTCTTTGGACATTCTGACACGGTTCTAGTTGGTGTGACTGACTTGCTTTCGAAACAACGTGCAACATCTTCACCACTCAACTCAAAAGAGACTCTGTGATTGACTAAAATATCATCACCTTTTGATACATTCTCCGAGTAGGCAATAGCTGCCATGCTTGAAATCTGATTGTTAGGAGGAAAACCATCTTGTAAGGCAGGATCTACAGCATCGGGTGTCAAACATCCTGAACCCAACCCTGAACCCAGGCCTATACCATCTGGAGTCAGAGTACCAGAACCAAGCCTTGAACCAAGCCCCATGCCATCTGGGGTCATTGAACCGGAACCAAGCCTTGAGCCCCATTTATGAGTGGTGAAATGCTCAAAGCCATAAATCTTAGGAGCCTCCCCCATTCGGAACTCAAGGATAGGGTATTTATCAGGGAAAGGAGTAGAGGTACCAGAATTGGAGATTGCTGACCCTGGTGATATGAGATTGCCACCAGGGCTCCCTGGATAGAACTGATAAGACTGGAAATCATAATGTGATAATCCGAATTTCTGAATGGTCCCACCATTTCTTCGAGCATGCTCCAATGATGATGGCAGCAGTTTTGCAAATGGAACTTCAGGGGATGAAGGTGTAGTAAGCTGAACGGATTCAGGAGGTGGAGTAAATGGAGCAGTGGATGGTTCAGTTGTCAAAGCAGAGAACGCAGGCGGTGTAACTAACTGGGTTTCATGTGCATAAGGGCCTATGGCAAAAATGGATGTAGGTCCACCAGGAGAGTAGGCATTGACAGAAAGAGAAGTGAGGGATAGTAATCCAGAAGGTGACTGGGTGGCAGATGGTGGTTCTGATTGAAGGAAATATGCAGGAGATGATGGAGGGGCTATAAAGGGGACTAGAAGGCCAGTTGGGTTGGCCACATTTTCAGCATTTGGGACTGAAGCTCCTGGTCCCACAAGTTCTGGAACTAGGACAGCATGGCCAATTCTCTTGCTGTTTTTATGAGATCCAGAAGTACCAAAACACCAGTAAAGGCGCCAAAAGCTTCCCCATCGTCTCTTCTATAGTCAATATAAAGAAAATTGGCAATTAGTTGCTTCCACAAAATTCAACCAAGGCTTTTTTATCAGCCTCAATGATTCTGCAAAAGGCCATCCATTAAATGCAACATGACAAGATGAAAATGAGAAGCATGCTTCAATCTTTGCATGTCTCCTCATGCAATGCACCAGAAGAAGAAATAGATACTCATGAGTCATGACTAATCAACCTCTAGCCACATTATTGCAAAGATTCTCTGTTCAAACGACTGTGACCTTGCAAAGAATAGCATGAACATTACAAGAAAACATAGTCTAAGACCTCTGAAGAAACACAGGCCAAGAGACAAAGTAATCAAAAAAAACATTTCTCTGCAAGAAAGCATTAAATGGAAGTTGTAATTTTGGTTACACAACTCTGGTTTTAAAAATTACTTGAGGTTTGAAACTAGCTATTAAGATATAAAATTTGGTGTGATTAGAATGTGAGAATTACAAGATTTTGCAAAACTTTTCTTCATCGTAAGAATAGCACTAGCACAAGTGCACAAACATCAATACTAATAATGGCTGCAATTCTACATAAAACAGCTACAACAATTAAAAAAGGCTACGACTATAACCAAGACGGTATTTGAGTATACCAATCAAGCACAAATTGTGATCAAATGTAGCCATCGAGGGTAAATATCAAGAACCAGTTTTGCTTATTGTTTCAATTTGTACAAAAAGCTACAAGATACTGAGGTTACAGGGAAAGCTACTAAAAGCGAGTAAAAGAAGAAACTTTCTAGGAAATTATTTTTATCCTCAATTCATGATACAGGCAATAGACTCAATGTAATTTTTTTACCTAAAAAAAGAAAAAAAAGAAAAATTCATTCTTCATAAAAAGTAGTAAAGAACTGCCCGCAGATATGATTATAAAAAGATGAGGAGGGGAGGAAAGTCAAGAAAAGTGATTAAACGAGCAATAATTCTTGGATACGTTACTTTTTAGACCCCAATCTGTTCCTTAAAAATCTTTTTGAAGAAAAAGTGAATTTTAGTGTTCTTGATTTCACAATTAAACACTTTTCATTCCCCTTTTTCTGTTCAGCAAGTTTCAGCTTACAGACTTGTCTGGCAAGACTCAAGTGTCAACTAACAGAAAACTCGAGATCCAAATTGTACTTTCCATCTGAACCATTTCTCAGCAACCAAACAGGGTATACAAAGAACAGAAAGACAAAACCAAAAAATTTAATACCGAAACCACAACCATTTGAGAAGAATTACTGAACTAGACGTTCCAACATCGAAAGATTTCACTTTCTCTTCTTCTAATTCTCTTCATGATTCTCGACCTCAAGCAAAGCATAAAAAACCTCAAAAATTCCAAATTCGTTCGGTTTCCTTCATTTTCTCGGCAACCAATCAAAGATACCAAACTCACAAACATAATTTGACCAAAAGCCAAACCTTCACACGGAGACTCTCACACGCGAAATAGATTAACATTCATGCACAGTCATGTTTACCTGAACTACGGCTGGCTGGACTCGAGACTCAGCAGAGACGATAGCAGTAGCGGCGGCGTTCACGGTCTCAACGCTGTCGTTGACGGTTCTCATCATCTTAGATTTTGTGGCGTGAAACGGTGCGCTCCTAGCATCAGGTTTACCGGCTTTGATCTCCGGCGAGAATCAAGACATCACGGAGGAAGTCGTGAGGAGGAGAGGAGGCTTTAATCCAAAATTCATGCTTCGGAAGAGTTCTGCATTTTTCTTTTATTTACTGTATTTACTCTTTTTTTTTTTTTTTGTCCGTCTCGTCCGGTTCAGTTTTGCCTCTCCAGTCCTTATCCTCCGGTTTCGTTCAATTTTGCACCGAATTTTGCCACGTCAGGTTGAAAATGATCGGGACGCACAGATTTATAATAATTTTATCTAAAAGTAAATTGTTTTTTGTCGTAGCTAATGTATTAAGAGCGGTTCGATTAAGTCCTCATTCTCTTAATTTTTGCACTTTTCAATTGAGTTAAGTCACAATTTTTTTTTTTTTTTAAATTTCTAGTTGACGTAGATTGTCCTCAGAAGAGAATGTTATTTTGCCATTTGTCCTACACGGATTGGCCCTCCATCAATGATAAAAAGTGGTGTAGTCATTTTTTTTTTGAAAGAATTAAAGAATTTCAATAAAATAGATAATATTTCCTCTTTTAATTATTTCTACAAATAATTCACATAACTAATTAAAGGTTAGTTTTTTTTTAATATTATTGCATTGTCACATACAAAAAAATGTTGCTGTCACAATGGATGAAAATAAAGGAGTGATAATTTGTAACTTGATAACTCCATTATGATCTCTTTTCTTTTAAACTTTCAAAATATTTAGTATTGAATTTGCATATAAATTATGTTATCCTTTTTCTTAGCCATCTCATATTAAAATTTTTTGACAATAATAATGAAATTTATTTGTGAAGCCTCATGAACAAAGACTAATATGTATTTCAAACATATATACATATATATATATATGATTTTATTCAAGTTTATGTTAACTCAACTGTCAATAACTTATTTTAGATGTACAAAAGGATTTTTAAAAAAAGAAGAATTAATTAACTAAGTGAACAATACTTAAAAAGATTGAGGACTATCCATGCTTAAAAGGACTGAGTTTAAAGATATAAGTGAACAATGCTAATCCTTATCCTTAAGATAGAGTACTGTCCAATGCAATTTTCCATCTATTTACTTTAATCATTGGAATAGTAAGGCTCTTATTTGTTTATCAAGAATTTTGTCTAATCCATACCCTTAACACATGCCCTTGCACTTAATTGTACATTTTTCAAATTAATTTAAATTAAAAAAATATAAATATTAATATTATTTTCAACATTTATAACAAAGAATACAAGTTAAAAAAAAATTTATTTATTAAGTTAATTTGGGTTTTGACGCAATAATGGTGTAGCACAGAACGTTCACGTGAGAAGACTGAATCTCGGGGGTGGGGTGAAAAGACAGCATTGCCCAAAGAAAGTCATTAGAATTCGAAATGAATGCCACCCACGCATGGGGTGGCGTGTGTGAAGCTACCTGTTGTTGTTGCAGTTTTGTCGTTTCAAGGAAGGGCATGAGAATCGTGACTCCATTTGGTACCCCCAACCTCTCCTGTACGGCTGACGGCTCCACCAGGGTTTATTTTGTAACTCTGTTCTACAGCAAAATTTTGTCTCAGAAATTTGTCACGTATTATTGTTTTATTTTTGAATAATTTTTTTTTACCTTTTATTCATTAATTTGATAACATGTAATTTTTTTTATTCTTAAATAATCTTTTACAGTTTTTTAGTTTCTTAATTTAATAATGTGTATTTTTTTTATTTTTTTATCAATAAAAATTCACATAATTCATTAAGTTGATTAAAATTTTTTTTAATTTTTTAAGAAAATAAGAGGACAATAATGATTTATTATCATCGAGATCCCATTATACGAAGGATAGATAGAGAACTAGAAGGAGGAGAAAGAGAAAGGGGAGGAAGTTAAAAAAATTCTTTCTCCAATTAAGTAATTTTATACATGTGAAAGAGAAAGATTTCACTAAACATATACACATCAAAGTTTGAAGAAAAAATAATTTCTTTAATTGACTAAACGGGCTACATGGACTTCCCTTGATGAAATGATAAAAAAGAAAAAAGAAAAAAGTGTATGTTATTAAGTAAAGGGACCAAACAATGCAAAAAAAAAAAATTACAGAAAAAATGTACATTGAGACAAATTTGTGGAGCCAAATTTAGCATTGAACTTAGAACTTATTATCAATTAATCTCGATGGTTTAAATTATTGGAAAATACTAAGAACATATAGTTGGAAGTCAATATTTAGAGGTAAATCGTTACTATTAAAAAGTTAGGTATTACAATTTAGATTCTAAAATACTAGTTATTGGATGAAGGGACTTAAATCTAATATTAAGAGCTTTTCATTATTTAATAATTAATATTTTGTAGTTTAATATAATTCAAATTACAAAATACTTTTTGTACTCCTATTATATAGTAATATAAGAGAAAAGAGAAAAGAAAAAATTAAACTATTTTAGCATTAAAAATACCTAAATGTCAAATTACATTTATAAAACATGTGAGACATAGTATAGGTCCCAACTATATCTCATCTATTATATGACTATAATTAAATATTTTAATTTTTCCTTTTCTCTCTATATATATATAAAAAAAAACTCAAATATTCTTTTTTGATGATTAAAAAAATTAACTATCATATGCTATCTAACTAACAACTACATCAAACAAGACTAAGTAAATCACAATTATCTCATCTATAATTATGGTTTACTTTTTAATTTTAAATTATACAATAAAAAATAACTCTCATATATATTTATTAACTCATTTTATCCATATGTCATATATTTAAATTATTTAAGTTGTTATTATCTATAATTGTATCTTGGTGTATGTTTTTGATTTCATAAGAGATAAACGTGAATACTTATCTACAATAATATAAAGCATTTTTATATGTTTCAAGATTAATATTGAAATCTATAATTCAAATTTTAAATTTTATAATTAAAGTAATGTAATTTTAAATTTTTTTTTTTATTTTTCTTATAAAAGTAATCAATAAATAAAGAAGAAATTTAAAGGGAGCAAACAAAACAAAGACACCAACGAGGGGTTGGATCAAGTGGTAAGCGACTTGTTTCAGCTTAAGCAAGATCTCGAGTTCGAGTCCTTGTGTATGCAGCAGCCCTCGCTGGGAGACTCATCCACCATTTTCAGGTGCGCGACGCGGGTCGGGTCCGAATTAGTCGGGACGAAGCCTCGGATACGGACGGGAAACCAAAAAAAAAAAACAAAACAAAGACAAATGGCATTGGGTTCCGTTAAAGTGATTTCATGCCGTTACCTGAAAAAACGGGAAGTAAGATGCGAAGCAGGGAGTGCACGTGTGCACATCCATTTGTTCCGTGGAGACCTGAGACACAAAGCCTTTTTCCTTTCCTTTCTCTTCTTTTCCTTCCCCTCGGGCCTCCTTTTTGATAATTTACTCATCATTTCAGAACCACTCTCTTTACTTTCTTTCTTTTTCTTTTCTATGCATGTATCTCCTAAGCGCAAAAGTCAAAACCAAAAGCTCCTTTTTCATGTTCTTGTCTTCTTTAACCATTTTTTATTTGTTTTTACTGTTACAATATTTTTAAATTAATTTTTATATATTTCAAAGTTAATTTTGCTTTAGACACGTGATTTTAAGAGAGAAACTCTTAAATCTGTCTATTGAATTGGACCTTTAAACTTAATAATCTGTCTCTAAATTTTTAAGTATTTGCATGTAATTGATTAAAAGTTTAACTCTTACCAACAATTTGAAAAAAAAAAAAGTCTCATTCTCCTAAATTCCTCCATATTAAAAAAAAAAAAAATCTACCTCTTTCTTTTTTTT